TTGAACTTTCAATCCTCCTATTCGACCTCCAAGAGTGCTGGAATTACAGACATGTGCCATCTCACCACCAGCTGTAATGAAAGTTCTGAATAATCTTTAGCCACCAAAGGATACCACACTTTCTTAAAGATACAGAATTTCAAATGGCTTTTGACTTTTAGAGATTTGCTAAATTAGAAAAATATTTGAAATTTCATGCTAGGGAAAAGAATTGAGATGCATCCAGATGAATGGACCGTGGTGCTCCTTGCTGGAGGGGGACCCTCAGGAAGGCCTTGAGTGATAATTCGCAACTGCTGTCCTCCAGTGCTAGGAAGAGGTGAGATCATCAAGGCCTCTCCAAGCACTGGCTCTTGGTTCTTACCTGGACTGGTCCCAGTGACATCGTGGAGTCTGTTTAAATCTCTATTTCAAGGCCAGCCAAATAGCTCAGTGGGTTAAAGCACCTGCAAGCAGGCCCAGGTGATGGGGGCTCAATCCCTGGGACTGCCACACCAGCCCCGCCGCTGGGGCACACTGAGACAGCAATTGAGACTGGGCGTGGTAGAGAGCACCTGTAATCCCAGCTCTTGGAAGGCTGTAAACAGGCAGATCACTAGGGGTCTGATCTACTAGTGAGACCCTGAACACCCTGTAGACCCTTCCCTAAAATACAAAAAAATTAAATAAAATAAATAAATAAATCTCCGTTTTCCCTTCTGGCACAACATCACCAATATCTAAAGAAGAGGGCTATTGCAGAGACTAACAACAATGTATGTAAAAACATAGGAAGTCAGCAATACATAAATGGTAGTGAGAAACTTGGCCTTTCAAGGTCAAGGCAAGGTCACCAGACAACCGCCCTATGGAGCTTCTTAATTTCCTTTTCCCTCCATGGTGGTAGAGGAATAAACTCTTCTTCGCATTTCTAATTATTCCCAACTGCCTGCACTCCCTTTTGGTACACTACTCCAGCTCTTCTATCCAGTTACGTTTCAAGATTTAAACATATATATTTTATGCCAATAACCATATAACATAAATATACATATTTTATACAGCTGTCAATATCTGTAAACACAATGAAATTATATCAAGTTAAATAGCATTTTCCTTATGCTGTTTATGCATTTTTTTTATACTGAATCCCAGGGTGTTTCATGAGACTGAAGTCTTCTTATTTTTTGTTTGGTAAACATATTTGAAGTATAAACTTTTTAGACATAAATAGCATCCACTTAATAAAAACTAATAACTAGATAAAATCAAATTAGTATAGTATAAGATGTCATTTTTAACATACAATTCTGGCACAAAATGTTGCTATAATTTATGAGTGCATCTTAATATTACATAACGGTGGGATTTGTTTCGGGAAGTTGGTACGTGTTAGAACATCAGTCAATTTCAATGCTACTACCCCCTTTCCTACTAAGCATTAAATTGCTTAAATTAATGCATCAAAATCATTAAACCGGGAATTTTAAAGACAGAAACTACTATTTTCCATAGTAGTTTACCTAGAAGAATTGCAGTGGGGAGATGGAAGATGGATGTGAAGAAAGAATGACTGAAGGCAAGGTCAGGCTCTGGGTTGGTCTAATACATGCACTGGCTATTCATTTGCCCAAGGGCGCTTCTAGAAGTAAGGCACGTGTCTACACTGCGACCGGAATGAAATGTATAGACTCCATTGCAGTGTTCCTCCTTGCATAATCCTCTTGATTTTGGACAAGTATGAGCCTTTAAGAATGTTAGAATTTTGCTAGTTGAACTCTGCAGAGAAATCAGAAATCATTAATTTTTAAACTAATAAATGATAGTAACATTTTTTGCCAAACTTGTAGGTTAAAAAAATAACATGTTATCCTACACTAATTTGATTTTCTCCAGTGGTTAGTTTTTATGCCCTAAAAATTAATTACTTTAGAAGAAAAAAATATTTCTTAGAGTTTTAGAAATCTTAGATTCTACTCTCATTTTCCTAAAATATTGTCTTTCTCTCAAATTTCTTCTTGTAGTTCTACATGTAAGTCAAGCTTGCTTTCGTGACCTCTAAGTGAAAATGTAGCCTAGTAATTACTTTTTTCTTTATTGAATTGTTTCTAAGGAAGAAATAATTACATTGATTATTGTCTTATCCAGTTCTTTGACAGTACTTCAGCCCACCCAGGAACAATAAATATTGATGGGATGGTAAAACTGAAGACTACCCATGATTCAGTAATTCAAAACTGCAAACAGCTTTTGCAAGTAATGATCTTTAGAAGGACAACTCAATAGGTGAGGGGAATAGATTGACATGGAGATATCCATCATATTTTATTGAGAAAATTAAAAATAGATTAAATCATTAATATGTGTCCCTACAGAATAAAATTTATTGGATTCAATTGCAGATTATGTGCTCATGAAATTGGCTAATTACCTTAAGCAGATGCTTGGTGCATGTTAATTTGGGTTTCTGTGTTGATTACGAGCATCTTTGGTTCATACCTAGCCTCCATTTAGAATAGCTGAGTCTCAATACAGTGTCCTCAAAAATGTAACCATAAGCCTTTCCTCAGGAAGGACAGCATGGAATCCTAGGAAGGTCCCTGAATGGGGAAGTGGGACCCTGGCTTCCGACATTCAGCAGCCATGTGACTTTAGGCCAATTATTTACCTATCAGGATCATAACATGGGTATCTGCTGGATAGGATTAGCATATAAATTGGGGAAGTTACTAGTAATCATTATCAATTTGGGAACAGAAGGAGAAGCAGCTCTATAAGCACATTTCCAAGGTACTACCTTACTAACTGCCGTTTAAGGGCAAAAATGTTACCTAAGTGTTAAAACTCCTTTAGAGAATTAAGAAGATCGATATTCCAAAGTGTTGATGATCACACAAACACAAAACATCTGGAATTCTTACCCATTACTGGGGGGAATATGAAATGGTACAACCACCTCAGAAAATAGTTTTGGAGTTTTTAATGTGCACTTACAGTATGGGTCAGGAATTCCACTCCTATTTTCATAAATGAATCAAAACCAAAAATAGATATACACTTGTATGTGTATGTAAATGTGGATAACAGTTTAATGCATCATATCCCCATAATGGCCCCAAACTGGACAACTCCAATTTCCATCAATGGAGACATATACTATTCAGCAATTTTAAAAAATGAACTACTGATGCATGTCATAAAATGGATGAATCTCAAAAATAGCTTGCCAAGTAAAAAAGTGAAAGAAACCAACCATGCAAAGGTGCATATTGTATGATTCCGTGTCTACAACCACACCCAGTGAAAACACAGTGGGAGAAACACATCATTGGTTGGACAGAGATAAAGGGGGAACTGATCGCAAAAGGGTGAGGAAATTGCATGGAAGGATAAGAACAATCATCTGTATGTTGATTGTAGTGGTGGTTTCACAAGTATTCTCATTTGACAAAACTTAGTGTTCAAAATGGGTAGGTGTATTTTATTAACTACAAATTGTATCTCAAAAAGCAAATGAAATAAATGAACAACAGTGGAAGGCAGTGATAAATGCAAAGAGGAAATGAGCTGGGCTGGCTCCTAGGTATCAAGAACGTGGTCAAAGATTGGTGCCTGTTTTACAAATGATCTCACACCAAAGTTCAGGGCAAAACCTGATTCTGCTGCCAGACTGACCCCCCTGTATGACAACCTTGATTTTTGTAAACCCAAACTTGCTATTCCACTTAACAACAGTGCTACTGCTGAGGCTAATCCACCACTTGCTGCAAGCCCTGGGCCATGCTGGTGCCAACTTTCTAGGAAAACACAGGGTAGGGAGGAATCCCTTGCAGGCCTCCAAGTGGCCCTGGAGCCTGCTATCTTCTCCCTTTCCTCTTTCCTTCCACTCTCCAGCTCTGCTCTTCTCACCTCTCAGACCAACACTCCTCAGCTAATTTTAAAGGGCTAATGTACAAGAAGACATCCAGGTAGCCTTCTTAGCTGGGCACAGTGACATACATCTGAAATCCCAACACTTTGGGAAGCCAAGACAGGAGTACAATCAGTTCAAGCCTGGTGTAGGCAACTTAATGGCTTCACAAGATGCTATCCCAAAATAAAATAAATATATAGCTGGGACTATAGCTCAGTGCAAAGGCCCTGGATTTGATTCCCAAGTAGCCCACACCACCACACATAGACAGTCTTCCTTAATGCACACAGAATTCCTAAGTTACATGAATGCCACATTGTGACTATTAGCTTGGATCCCAAGGTCACAGAAATGATCTATGTACAGAAATCAGCTGAATGAACCTATAAATCCATCCAGCTCTCTATGCCTTGGCTTCCTTGTTTATAAATGAAGGTCTGAAATTGAACCCTCAGCACAGGCTGCTGTGAGAATTCAGGAGAAAAATGAATACCCTGAGTACAGTAGTAGCACAAAGCAAGAAAATCACCACTGAAACTACGGAGGTGATGGGATATTCTTGTTCCAACTCCACCAGTTCTCTCTTAATTTGCTGTAGAATGTCAGAGAGCATTTTATCAGCTCCACACAAAGGCACCAAGACTCTTGGATCTGGGAGAACAGAAACTTCCCATGTACACTCTGTGTGAGCTGGAATTGCCCCCCAAGATCCCAGCTGTGGAAGATAAAAATGGGGGCCATGGCCACATATTTGACTGTTACATTTTACTCATACATACTTGAGATGCCTGTCAAATATGCTATAATTGTATGAACAGAGTGAAAGAGTCCAACCATAAGTCATGGATAAGAAATGCAAAAAAAATGGGTGCTGTAACAAACCAAGTAGGAAATTAGTAACATACTTATAGTTATTAATAAAATATCTGTCAAGCAACCAGAAATACATTATATATAAAAGAAATGCCTAGGTGTGTTTTCGGTTCTATGCTCTTCCTCAGAAGTCTGCTGTATATTTAAAATGATTCAACCTCAGATGAAGCTTTTGCCCCCTGGAATTTTCTCCTAATTTCTCATTCACACATTTTTTTACATTCCCTCCATGTAGCTCCACCAACCCTCCCAGACGTCAGTGGGTCAAGGAGCCTCACAAGGGACCCTTCTGCACCTGGCTCACAGTCAAGCATCCATGTCTCAAAGTCCCGTCCGACAGCCTTCCTCCTCTTCTTCCTCATCTTCCTCTTCTTCAGCTTTGAGCGTGGGCCAGTTAGTCAGCAGTAAGTATCTCTTCTGGCTCAGTTTAAATCATGATGGCTGTCTTTTCTCCCTCTCCCTGTCCCTGTCCCTCTCCCTCTCCTTCTTCCTTTCCTGCTTACTCTCTGAAACATTTTCTCATGCTGCCAAGATGACACAGAGGCCAAGTTCCTTTCCAGGGACCAATGGTTCCAAAGCCCACCCTGGATTAGAGCCTGCCAGGGCCAGCTCCATCCTGAGTGGCTCTGAAGTGCTGAGTCAGTCTTGCCACTTCAGAGGCCAGAAACTTACCAGCTTGAGAGGCCCTGAGCCACAGAGTTCAGAACTGAAAGAAACAACATGCTTGGAGCCAGTGGGTCAAGCTGCTTCTCTGTGTGTTTGAAGTCCCTGCTGCTCTGTTTGTAAACATGAGAAGAAATAAAAGACAGCAGGCCTGTGGGAGGATAGGTGTGTATGCGCAGTGAGCTGCCTTCAGGCCTGCAGAACTCACCTGGGCTGCAGGCAGATGAGAAATATCTGAACGAGTACTTATAAAGAAAGAGGGTATGAGTCTGTTTCCCATGAGCAGGTTACATCTACTGATACATTAGATTTGATCAGAATATACAAGAATGTATAATTTAAAAGAAATTTGTTATAAGACACATTACCATGCATCCTCTCCAAAGTACTCCCTCTCTCTTCAAACACACTTATCCCATCACTTATCCTGTTGTCACTTTCTGAAGCAGCCTGGAAATCCTCTTTTGTGAGTGTCTTTACTAAACATGATCAAAACTATGGTGAATGCTGTCCAACAAAAAGGCAGGCTCATGAAAACAAGATGGTATGTCCTCCTCTACTTCATTCACCAGCTCTACCACTGTGGAACTTCTCATTCTTCCCAAAGTCAAAATGACCGTGAAAAGTAAACATTTTGGATCAGTGCAAAATATTGAGACATCCACAACAGGGCAACTGAAAACACTCAGGAAAGAGTCCTTCCAGAACTGCTTTAGAAAGTAGCAAAAGCCACAGAATGAATGTGTATGGAGCAAGAAGGAGTAAGTGGAGGGGAATTGATTGCAATTGTGGGTTTTTTACAAAAAAAATTTTAAATAATTTTATTGAGAAAGAAGTAGCAATGAGACAGTTTCAAAACATGTTAGTAAGACAGTTATAATAATTAATACATTGCATACTGTTGTCTTTATAGTAGTTATTCATAGTACAAGATGCAGGCATGATATCTTGTCTAAACACTATTAGTTCAAAACTTTCTTCTCATTGAACTAAGAGAAAGTAGCTGTATATCTATGCTATTTTGTATATACAGATATATTTTTTACTACAAAATGTTCCTTCATTTATATCCCCCTTTTTTGTTTACTTTTGTCAGAGATGTGTATTCCATTGCCATTCATATATTGCAGGTGCATGAATTCAGCAAAGTAATCCAATATAGTGCAGTAGTCTATAAAAATTTAACAAAAAAATTTAACCATTCACTATATTTGTGGATCATACCTCATATATAACTTGTAGAAATGTTTTGGTTTGGTTTGGTTTGGCTTGGTTTAATTTGATGTGATGTGATGTGATGTGATGTGATGTGATGTGATGTGATGTGATGTGATGTGATTTGATTCAGAGACTCACTGTGCAGTTCAGACTCATAGTAATCCTCCTTTCTCAGCCTCCCCTAGCATTGGTATTACAGGTGTGTACCACCACACCCAGTTCCTGGGCCAGCATGGCATGCAGTACTGGGGAATCAAACTCAGGACCTTGAGCTTGCCAGGCAGGTGCTTATGCTGCCAAGCTGTGTCCCCAGCCCTAGAAATGATTTTTGATCCTAAGTGAACAAAGCAAATCTGTCACATGCATATAGAAGCATGTAAAGATTAATGGGACAAGGACCAGATTAAATGTCATTCATGTATCTTTAATACGATGCTTATTTATCTATAAAGTCAAATATCATGTTCATTGATTATAATTCACCAGAAGCCAAAAGTAGTACGATTGAAAGGCTAAAACACTGCATCAGCTATTGCACCTAAAATGAGTATACATATGAGCATCCTTTTCCTGCGAAGAATGAAAAGTGCCGTGTTAAAACAGGAACAGTAGGCATCTTCATGCTGCAAATCTGGCAATACGAAGTATCTCCCTCAAATACTACACACACAGTATGGTCAGTAATACAGATAACTCAGGCGAGAAAGATGATGGGGGGCAAGACTAGAAGAAGGCACTATGAAAAGATGTTGAGGGCTGGGGAGATAGCTCAGTGGAATAAGTATTTGCCCGGCAAGTGCAAGGTCCTTAGTTTGATCCCTGGTACCACCAAGGAAAGAAAAAGATGTTGAACTGCCCAGTATCTCTTTTAGGCTAGCCTCAATTCTCTTTATCATAAATATTAAACAGAGTTTCAGAATTCATGTGGCATTTTTCCATTGTTCATGTATTTTAGATTGCCTAGATATCCAACCCCTACATATTTAGACTAGATACCCTAGTCTCACTTAAACAAAATCACACTTTACCCAAAAAATAAACTCCTTATAGAGATATTGTGGGTGTGAAAAGATTCAAACTTTAATCCAATTCAATATTCTTCTTCTTATATTTCTGCAAAGTACAACAATTCTAAATAGCAGCAGAATTATAAACTTAGGATAGGCTATTAAGCTTTGGTTCTGAAAGTAAAGAGACTGAAGTCAAATATTTTATACAAACATAAGTCAAATATGAAACAAAAGGAGAAGCCACTCCATTAATACATTGTATTGCACAAGGCGATTACTCAGTGCATGTCAGATGGGTAGAGAGATGGTGGCACGGATAGACAGACAATGGACCGACTGAAGAGTGAGAGCGGGCTCTCTCTGGGCTGTTGTCACAGACTGGACAAAGAAGGATTTGCCTTCCTCAGGAATCAGTACTTAAGGGGCTGGCTGGAATTTCCTTTGCATAGCAACCATTGTAACATCTCAGTCCCCTGTACCTGAGGAATGACCCGAAATTTCCTCAGATACACCACACACACTTGAGATAGAGAACTCCAAGCACACCTGCAGAGCCTGCAGGGCAATCTCGCACCAACTCTACAGTCTTCTCTGAAAAAGCAGGTCCAGGGGCACCAATGGGAGTCAGACTCTACACCAGCTGATCACTGGACTGACCCTGGCTGTAGAATTCAGGCCTGCTGCTTAGGTATTTCCCTTCTGTCCCAACACCCAAGTATGCCATGTGTGTATGATACATTTTTATGCATTCACTCACAAAACTCAGAGGAACATGATAAAAGGTCAAGGATAAAAATGACTAGCTGGACAAAGAGATATAATGGGTAATGCTGGGAAGGGTCCTGAGTGAAAGGACCCCATGGAGTGTCTGACCCCATGGAGTTGAGGAGTTGGGTGCCTCTGTGACCCCAGAAGCTCTCTGAACTCTGCGTTCAGGGACTGTTGAGGAGGGTTTCATCACATATCCATAACTGATTATTAACTCATTCTCCAGGACTGTACCTCCTCACCCTTGTTTTTATCACGCCTTGGTCATTCCGATGCCTGATTCCCTTATTGGGCCTGTGCAGAACACACCAAAGCTTGTCTCAGTAGAACAAAAGATCACCCCAGCACTCAAGAAATTACAAGGCATTTAAGAGCTTTGTGCCGTGAATTACAGACCAAGATCAAATATTAGAACAAAAAGTTCTCTCAGTGCTTCTAGTACTTAGGAAATGGTAAGAGCTTCAGAAGCTGTGTGCCAGAAGCCAAGAAAGAAGACCAAACACTGAACATCCTCTCTGTCTCTCTGTCTCTCTGTCTCTCTGTCTCTCTGTCTCTCTGTCTCTGTCTCTCTGTCTCTGTCTTTCTGTCTGTCTCTCTGTCTCTGTCTCTCTGTCTCTGTCTCTGTCTTTCTTTTCTCTCTCTCTCTCTCTCTCTCTCTCTCTCTCTCTCTCTCTTTCTCTGCAACACTAGGGATTGAACCCAGGGCCTTCACTTCACATCAAGCTACAGTCCAGGATTTTTTTTTTTACTTATTTAAAGACAAGTTCTCAGTAAATCCGTAAGCTGCCCATGTTAGGTCTAAACTTGTGATCTGCCTCAGCCTCCCAAAGTGATAGGATTACAGACACATCTATATTTCTTATTCTATAACAATATCATAAAAACTCTGATCAAAATCATAATTAATTGAGTCCTCCGTGTTACTGTCAAAGACATATGGTAGTGTTGGCCAACATGCCATGACAACTAAGCAAGTATTTTGTTTACTTCTTGCAAAGAACAGCCAAGTTACCAACTCACTAATGATACAGGATCTTTGTATCTGAAGAATACCACATCTGGGCTCAGAGTTACCATATAAGCATTTTAACCCAAGGCTGGGCTACATACCCAGCCTTTTTTAATTTCTTTATTTTGAAACAGCGTCTTGCTAAATCACTAAATTGCCTGGCCTGGGCTTAAACTTGTAATCCTCTGCCTCAGCCTCCCAGAGGGATTGCAGACATGTGCCAACATGCTCAACTCAAGTGACTATTCTTGCTAGAAAACATAATACCTGCATACTTTGCCTTGTGTTATGTGTTGCTCGGTCTCCATAGTCATTAGAGTTAAATATAACTTCTAACCACAGAGTTTTTAGGAAGTCTAGGAAAAAATAAATCAAACAAATGACAACGTCTCTAATTTGGTTTAAGATTTACTGTGTACTGTTTTTAAAATAGGCAGATTAGGGCTGGCAACATAGCTCAGTGGACTAAGTGCTTGCTCAGGCAAGTTCAGGGGCCAGGATTCAATCCCTGGCGCCACATGCCATGACAGCCCTCCCCTCCCCCACCCCACAGGCATGCTGAGCCTGTGATGGAGTCCAGGCATGATGACATATGCCTGTAATCCCAGCACCTAGGAGGCTAAAAACAGGAGGATCACTACAAGTCCAAGCTGCGTAGTGAGGCCCTGCCCAAAAATAAAATAAAAAATAAAATAGGCAGATTGAGAGTTTTGATTGTCGGCTGGGTTTGGGGTTT